ATACCTGCCTCCCTCCCTCCCTCTCCCCCTCTCTCTCTCGCGCGCGCTGCCGAACTGCCGCACGTGCTGACGAGCCTTGCTGCTGTGACTTGCAGGGCTGACGGGAGGCTCTCCTCCCCCGGACGAGGGTCTGCTCCTCGAGGAACTGTCTAGGAACTGTCCAGGAACTGTCTAGGCTCTCCTCCCCCGGACGAGGGTCTGCTCCTCGAGGAACTGTCTAGGAACTGTCTAGGAACTGTCTAGGCTCTCCTCCCCCGGACGAGGGTCTGCTCCTCGAGGCGCTGCCTGCGCTGGTGCGGCTGGTTGCCTCGCGAGACGCGGAGGCGCGCGCCCTGTCGTGCCTCGGCCTCGCGCACGTCGCAGAGGCGCGGGGCCGCCCCCCCCCCCCCCCCGCCCGCCCGGGAAGCCGACGCGGCGAGTCTGGGCCTGGTCCCCAGCAGTGGTGGCGAGGGGTGACTAGGCGGGCCCACCCCTCGCCGATGCGATGGCCGCTTCTGGCTGCGCTGCCCGGCTCGCGCACTGCCTCGAGTACGGAGGCGCGGAGGCGGAGGCGCTCGCGCTGCGCGCGCTCGCGGCGCTCCTGTCCGGCTCGTGCGAGTCGGTGCGCGCCGTCCTCGACACCGGTCTGGCGCGGCTGCTGCCTCCGCTGCTCGAGGGCCCGAACGCGGCCACGCGCGGGGAGGCGTGCGGCGCCGTCGCCTCGCTCGCGGCGGGCGCGCCGTGGGGGGGCGCATGGAGGCGCTGAGATGCACGAGAGGGCGCGCACATGTGACGGCGAGGTTGCGCGAGAGCTTAGGCGCCCCGTCTCGCATCGAGTGGCTGATGGGCACGCCGCTCGTGTCGCTGGTGGTGCAGCGGCTGACCGTCGACGAGTTCGGCGTCAAGCGGCAGGCGCTCGGCGTGGTTGCCAACGTGCTGCAAGCCTTCCAGGCGGACCCGCGCCCGTCGACGGCAGGGTGGGCCGCGTCGCTGGTGTACGAGCACGGCGCGGTCGCGCCGCTGGTGGCGCTGCTTGACGTGCACGACGCCGACGTGCTGCGCGTTGCCCTCCACGCGAGCGGTGGTGTGCTGGCCGCCGGCGAGCAGCTCGCGCGGGGCTCGCGGGGCGGCGTGTGCAGCAACCCGTTCACGCTCCCGTTCGCCGAGGCGCTCGTCGGCTCCTCTCGGCCCCTCTCGGCCCCTCTCGGCTCCTCTCGGCTCCGCTCGGCTCCTCTCGGCTCCTCTCGGCTCCGCTCGGCTCCGCTCGGCTCCGCTCGGCCCCTCTCGGCTCCGCTCGGCTCCGCTCGGCTCCGCTCGGCTCCGCTCGGCTCCGCTCGGCTCCGCTCGGCTCCTCTCGGCTCCGCTCGGCTCCGCTCGGCCCCTCTCGGCTCCGCTCGGCTCCGCTCGGCTCCGCTCGGCTCCGCTCGGCTCCTCTCGGCTCCTCTCGGCTCCTCTCGGCCCCTCTCGGCCCCTCTCGGCTCCTCTCGGCTCCTCTCGGCTCCGCTCGGCTCCTCTCGGCTCCTCTCGGCTCCTCTCGGCTCCTCTCGGCTCCGCTCGGCTCCGCTCGGCCCCTCTCGGCCCCTCTCGGCTCCTCTCGGCTCCTCTCGGCTCCGCTCGGCTCCTCTCGGCTCCGCTCGGCTGCTCTCGGCTCCGCTCGGCCCCTCTCGGCTGCTCTCGGCTCCTCTCGGCTCCTCTCGGCTCCTCTCGGCTCCTCTCGGCTCCTCTCGGCTCCTCTCGGCTCCTCTCGGCTCATCTCTCGGCTCACCTCGGCTCACCTCGGCTCACCTCGGCTCACCTAAGCCCACCTCGGCTCACCTCTGCTCCTCCGTGCTCCGCTCCGCTGCAGGCGTTTGGCGTCGAGAAGCTCGAGGAGCTGCAGCAGCACCCAAACCCGGCGGTGGGTCGACGCGCGGCGGCGCTGCTCGACCGGTACTTTGGCGGGTGTTTTAACCCATCCCCTACCCCCACGGTACCGAACCCATAGGCGCTGCTCGACCGGTACTTTGGCGGCGCCGGAGACGCGATGGACGCGTCCGAAGACGCCGCGGCGGCGGACGGCTGCGCCTTCACGGGCGGTGGCGAGGGGCGCGAGCCCCGCGCCGTCTACGTCTTTTGAGGCTCCGGCTCGGGTCGCGGGGAGGCTGGGTGCACCCTACTTTTTGTACGACCTTCGTACCGGCTGCATGGCTCTGTCTCGGCCCCCACGAGAGTGGGCGTGCGCGTACAGTGTTTGTCGAAAACGCAGGCTGTCGCGAGAATGAGATACCATGAGCGAGCTATATCGTCCTGCTCGGCTCCAGCCAGTAGACAAGTCTTGTCATCAACAGAGTAGAAGGATCTGACCTCGGGGCCGATGTGACCAAGCGCTGGTAGCGTGGTTTTACCTCACACCCATGGTCTCACACGCTGTGCCGCCACCGACGAGTGCGTTGGACTTTTCACTCCGGACAAAGACGGCGGCACGCACACGAGCTGCGGCCGTGCCGCCGTCATAGCGGCGAGGCGCGGGACCGTCTGTGGCGAGGTGGGTCGCGTCCCTCGATTTCCTCAACTCCGCCGATAACGATTGGGGTAGGGGCCCTAACTCGTGATAGGCCACTAGTTTCCCGCAGGAGACTCACCCTCTCCTCTCCTACCTCTTCTTCTGCCTCTGCGTCCTTCACGGACTCTCCGTGGACATCTTTTACTTCATCTTTTACGGAAGTTTGAACTTCCGTGCGTGTCGGGCGCTCCCGCCCGCTCGCTGCTCTGATGAGCGCGGCTTCCGCTGCTCTCTCCTGCTCACCTGGCCATGACGCCGCTCCTCGTCCTTGGCCGCGCCAGGCTCTCCTTCCTACTGCGCCAGCCCTTCGGCTGCATCAGTTCTTTCTTCTCCGTGCAGGATCTGTGCGTCTGCGCCATTGTTGCTGTTGCTGGCGACTGTCCTTGGCAGCAGTGCACGATGGGCGATGGCCTCATCTGCTTGCCTGCGATGCTCTGCGGTCGCCTCGGCCCTGCCACAGCGGCCTCGTCCACCTGGAGACCCGAGTCGGTGGCTCCACAGCCCGCTCTGAGGAATGCTGTTGCATCTCAACTCGTGGCGTGCCTCTCTCTTCTCTCCGGCCTCGTGCTGCAGATGTGGCTGAGCTCTGCGCTCAGGTGGCTCTGGGATATCTCCTTTCCAGGCAGCACCCCTGCACCTTGCACCTTGCATCTCAACTCGTGGCGTGCCTCTCTCTTCTCTCCGGCCTCGTGCTGCAGATGTGGCTGAGCTCTGCGCTCAGGTGGCTCTGGGATATCTCCTTTCCAGGCAGCACCCCAGTGCCGCCTCGTGGGCGGCGTGGCGGGCGGCCAGCTGTCACTGCTGCCTTCCCTCTCGAGTGAGCCTCGCCTCGCTCCTCTTCTACTCGAGCCTCGTCTCGTGTGCCTCCTCGTGGGCGGCGTGGTGGGCGGCCAGCTGTCACTGCTGCCTTCCCTCACGAGTGAGCCTCGCCTCGCTCCTCTTCTACTCGAGCCTCGTCTCGTGTGCCGCCTCGTGGGCGGCGTGGTGGGCGGCCAGCTGTCACTGCTGCCTTCCCTCTCGAGTGAGCCTCGCCTCGCTCCTCTTCTACTCGAGCCTCGTCTCGTGTGCCTCCTCGTGGGCGACATGGCGAGCGAGCCTCGCCTCCCTCCTCTTCTACTCGAGCCTCGTCTCGTGTGCCTCCTCGTGGGCGGCGTGGTGGGCGGCCAGCTGTCACTGCTGCCTTCCCTCTCGAGTGAGCCTCGCCTCGCTCCTCTTCTACTCGAGCCTCGTCTCGTGTGCCTCCTCGTGGGCGGCGTGGTGGGCGGCCAGCTGTCACAGCTGCCTTCCCTCTCGAGTGAGCCTCGCCTCGCTCCTCTTCTACTCGAGCCTCGTCTCGTGTGCCTCCTCGTGGGCGGCGCGGTGGGCGGCCAGCTGTCACTGCTGCCTTCCCTCTCGAGTGAGCCTCGCCTCGCTCCTCTTCTACTCGAGTCTCGTCTCGTGTGCCTCCTCGTGAGCGGCATGGCGCGGCGGCCTCTGGACGCTCGGCGACCGGCCTCACCCCTCTCGTGATTTGGCTGTCGCCTCTGTGGCTCCATGCCACGGCCAGTTGCCCCTTCTGTGGGGTTCATTGGGCTTTCCGGGCCACCTGCCCTCGCTCCTCCTCCACTGCGCGTTGGGATGTCAGGGATACTGCGTAGCCCTTCCTGGTGGAGGCGCGCGCGATTCCGTGACTCTCCTTTTACGCGCCAATGTACCCTCACCGAAGGTGCATAGGAGTGAATCCGAGTGAAACTAGTCCGCCGATAACGATTGGGGTAGGGGCCCTAACTCGTGATAGGCCACTAGTTTCCCGCAGGAGACTCACCCTCTCCTCTCCTACCTCTTCTTCTGCCTCTGCGTCCTTCACGGACTCTCCGTGGACATCTTTTACTTCATCTTTTACGGAAGTTTGAACTTCCGTGCGTGTCGGGCGCTCCCGCCCGCTCGCTGCTCTGATGAGCGCGGCTTCCGCTGCTCTCTCCTGCTCACCTGGCCATGACGCCGCTCCTCGTCCTTGGCCGCGCCAGGCTCTCCTTCCTACTGCGCCAGCCCTTCGGCTGCATCAGTTCTTTCTTCTCCCCACCCACCCTATCCTGCCTACTCTCTGGTGGCTTTGGGGTGTGGTTCTCTCTATCTGGTCCGAGGTGCGATCCCTTACGGCGCCGCGGGCGGCTACAGGACGTTGAGGTCCCCTCCGTACCTGTAGCAACCCAAGCCGTTTGAGTCCCAACCCTCCGCCTTCAGTGGCAGGATCCCAGGGGATGTCAGGGATACTGCGTAGCCCTTCCTGGTGGAGGCGCGCGCGATTCCGTGACTCTCCTTTTACGCGCCAATGTACCCTCACCGAAGGTGCATAGGAGTGAATCCGAGTGAAACTAGTCACGGTCCCCCTTTTACTTGCAACTTCGGCGGTCCTTGTAACCGCAGCGAAACTTGGGAGCATCGCCCTCGTGAGCACTGTCCGTGTGCGATTTGGGCCCGGGGTTGTGATTTTGTGTGAGCAAAGCCGGCCGTTCCCGGGGTTGTGTTTTGTGTGAGCAAAGCCGGCCGTTCTCGATACAATCACATATGGTCGTGAGGCTCGTCCTTGTCGTGTCTGCGCTGCCCTTGGTCGCCGGGTTGGGCAGACACGGGGCTGGGAAGCACCATGGTCGGGGTGCGAGGCAGCACAAGCGAGCGGAAGCAGCAAACATCCGGAGCAGTGCAAACGGTCTCGGCTTCACGTGCACGGTGGGCGTCCAGGCGACGGGTGGCGAGTGCATCTTGAGCACGCTCTCGAGAGACCCTAGGCCTACGTGACGGTGGCGCCGACCGTGCGCGCCGCCGCCGCCGCCCCGCCGGAGAGCAAGACACGCCGTGGTATTGACGCGTGTGGCTGCGACTCTTTAGGCGGCGGCAGCGTACTTTTTGGCACAGGCGTTGCCTCGGCTGTTCCTCGCTTGTTGCATCCCTGCTTCACTTCGGAAATCTCACCTCTAGGAGTGGATGTGGCACGCGCTCTTCCTCGGCGTCCCTCAGACGTGCCTCGGCCTGCCCACGTACCCCCGGCTTATGCGCCAGGCCTCTGCGTGGGATGCCCACCGCAGCTCCCTGAAGCGAGGGAAGAATATCTGAGGGGTATCGCAGACGTTTGGAGTCAGTGCGAAAAGCATTTTGGACAGTGCAGAACTAGCATTGTCCCCGGGTCTCCGGAGAGATACAGTATGAGCTTCGCGACATCCTCTACCGGTGGGAGGGGGTTTGGTCGTTCCTGTTTTTTCTTTTTGGGCTTTTTGGCCCTCGATACAGCCGGGGTGTTAGCGGTTAGGTATGTTCGGGGTGATATTTGTCACATAGGATACCTCGACTAGCTCTCGATCGGCTAGAGCGTCGACTCGTGCGCCGCCTCGTCGGCGGCGTGGCGGGCGGGCGGCCGGATGTGCCGTCGCCTCGCCGGAGTATATCTCGACTCGCTCTACATCGGCTAGAGCGTCGACTCGTGCGCCGCCTCGTCGGCGGCGTGGCGGGCGGGCAGCTGGCGTGAATCAGCAAGCGACAACCGCGTGAATCAGCAAGCGACCGCGGCGTCACTCCTCTCGCCATCCGCTCCGTCGCTTGCCTCTCCGTCCGTCGCCTCGCCATCGGCTTCGCCGCTCGCCGCTCCGTCCGTCGCGCCGTCTACTTGCCAGCTTGCTGATTCACGCGACCCGCCACCCGAGGCTGGTATCGCGGCCATCTCCGCTGCCGCTGCAACGTCGCTCACCGCGCCGGACGCTGCCTCCGCTCCACTCCGTTCTCGCTCGAGCTCCTCGCCATCGGCTCCGCCGCTCGCCGCTCCGTCCGGTCTCGACTCCTCCAGCCCCTGCGACTCCCAGCCAAGCAAGCGACGTCGCCTGACATGAGACTGCGAGGTGCTCCCAGATCAACCACAGCTACTACGCAGTGCCACATTCTCCAGCTACTACTCAGGGCCGCGCCCCCTCCCCGGGGGAATGGTCATGTTTGTGTCGCAGGAGGTGAGGCACGAGGACTCTCACGAGGACCAGTAGCCTGACCTGTATCGAGAAGCTTCACCTAGTATTCTCCCCTCCCCACCCCAGAGTGATAAATAGTCCACCGTATTCCCATATCCCTGTATTCCCACACCCAAACAGTGGCACGTCACAACTCCCCAACTGTCTCGTTGTGCAAGTTTGGCACGTCATAGTCTCTGACTGCTTTCGCTGGGCGGCACGCGCTGCGAGACAGTCGACCTCTTTGTTGAGGTGTCACAACTCGGTGCATAATTGCGCCACTTCCCCACCGGTACATAATTGTGCCTTCGTACTTTGAATACGCTCTACAAATATGTCAGCCTCGGATAAGGAGGCCCGCGGTGTCGCGGGCATCCTATCACCCGCGACCAAACCGCGGGACCGCGTACGACTCGACATCCACTTGCGGCTGGACACCGACTCTTCGGGTTCAGATGCCGATCTCTCGAGCACGAGCGAGAGAAGAGGGACGCCTCGAGCAATGCCTCGTCCACAAAGATGTACGGGTACCTCCTGCCGTTGGAGTTCGTGATGACCGAAAGGGCACCCTCAAAGGTGCGAGCCTCGAAGTGAGTGCCCGCTCGACCGGCTCCCGGCGCAGTTCCCTGCTGCGCCCCGATCCTCGGTAAATTCTGTAGGCCCCATGGCGCTCGATCCGCCCACGGCTGCTCACGGGATGACCCCGCGCGGGCGGTGGGAGGAGCCATTCTGGAATTGAGTAGATCGAGGGCAAAGCCATGCCCTCTCACCGCTCGCGGTCGCAAGTCCATTTCACATGGCTGACCGCGTCACCCGACAAATATCCCCGACGTGTCCTGCAGTGAAGAGTCCACTCCACCGCACCGGCTGCCCCTCGAGGCGGCCCGGAGCCTGGACGCTGGCCTCGAAGATTGGCTCAGCCTCGAGCCTCGAAGTCAAATCTGAACCCAAAATCCCTTTGAACCCTGTCCCTGTCACTGTCCCATGGTCCGGTCATAGAGAAAACCGATCCATCCATGAGAGCACTTGCCTTCCACCTCAGCCCCTCCTCGACCCGCCCGTCGCACTCCGTCTCCATCGGCTCGGTCTCCGCCTCCTCCTCTCCCTCCACCACCTCCCAGTCCAGGTCCTCCGCGACGATGTCTTCTATGGTCAGCATGCCGCCCGCCATCGCGCCGAGCGCGACGCCGGCCACATCAAAGTCGGCAGCATCGTCTGCGACGCCGTCCGGATCGACAACGAACACGCCATCCTCCTCTCGGACCTCGCCGAACGCAAGGTGCCGCACCAAGCTCCCTTCGCCCTCCGCAATGAGGAAGGCTTTCCTCCGCCGGCAGCCCGCGACCGTCTTTGTCGAGGCCTCACTGGCACCACTCTCATAGCCGCTGTCCGCGGCCGACGAGGCACCGGCGTGAGCTGCAGTCACCTTGCGCTGATTGCCGTGAGCCGAGCCGCCTGCCCTGCCGCTCGTCCCACTCCCAGGCACACTGCCAGCCGCGCCGCCGCTGCCGCCGCCGCCACCTCCGCCAGGCGCGCCTCCGCCAGGCGCACCGCTGCCGGCCGCAACGCCGCCGTGCGCGGCCTCGGCGTCGACCTCATCGTCGCGGGCGAGGTCGGCATCATCTCCGACATCATCACCGATATCGGGCGCGACGGAGTAGGACAAAGCGCTCTCGTCGCCTACTATGTGCCCGCGAGCGTTTCGCGGAACGGAAAAGAAAAACGACAATCGGGGCCGCAAGAGCGCCTGAGCTACCGTCAGCATATGTGGCGCGGGTACGCCGTCGGGCACTCCGCCGTCCTCCATTGGCTCATCGAGGAGGTTCCACTCGCCACTCATCGAGTCATCGTCAACAGAGAGCTGGTCGTGGCCCCGCTTCCTGCTCACGCCCGCCTGGCCCTCGACGCGCACAGCCTGCGGCTCGCCGCCGCCGGGGCCGTTGTCACCACTGCTGTCGGCTCCGTCACCGCTGCCGCCGCCCACGATACCGCTGCCGCTGCCTCCACTGCTGCCGCTGGTACCGCCGCTGTTGCCACCACCGCCACCGTCACCGTCACCGGCATCGCCGACGCCGCCAAGCCCTTCGAGCACTGAGAGGAGAACCGATGGCACCTCCTCGTGCGGCTCCTGTGCAGTGGCAGTTCAGGGGCGTGAGAGGCCGGGACGTGGGGAAGGGATAGGGCACTCTCGCACGCACGTTGTCCCACGCCGGCGCATGCTCCAGTAGCTGAGTGTAGTTCCGCGGCTGGTCCACGCGGCGCCATCCGCCTGGGCAGTGCGTCGCATCGATACCGTAGACGTCGCGCACCGTGTCTTTGATCTTGTTGCCACGCAAGAAAGACGTCAGGTTCTTCTGCGAGCGCAGTCCGCACATGTCATCGCGCTGGCTTGCAACCCTCACCACAAAGCCGCCGACGTCCCAGTTCGGGACTGGAATCGGATCCTCGCCGCTGTCGATGCGCTGCAGCCAATGCACGCTCGCTAGCGACCTCAATCCCTTCGTTGACCATCTTGGCTTCAACGCCAATGCGGCTCAGCGAGAACCAGGCGTCGGGTTCGACGAGCGTCTTCAGGTTGGACACCGACATCCCGCGACCACAACAGCTACAGAAGCGGGACAGTTCGGTCTCGGGGACGCTCAGAAGGCGCATATGCTCGTCAACGAGCTCATACGGCATCGCAGGCGCGTGCTCGGAAGAGGCGGGAGGCTCGCTTCGCGCTGGAACCCAGGGGCTTCGCTGTGGAACCCCGCGCTTCGAGGTGGAACGTTTCACCTTTTTTGGCCCTGGCAAACCTCCCTCCGGCAAGTCTACTCTCGGGGGCCAGTGTGCAAGTCCTTGATGTGGTTCGTTTCCACCGCGAGGGCGGCCCCTCGAGCCTCGTCGAGCCCGGATCGACGACGTAGATGACATCAATTCGACGTGCATCATTAATTACCAAGAAATCGACGAGCGAAACGTATCGGCTCTCAACCGTCGTATCTGGCACCGTATACAAAATGAATTCGGGGGCGCGGTACAAACGGGGTACACCAAAAGGCACGGGTTGCCTGCATGGCGTTCGTGCAAGCCCCACCCGGCTGGCGAGTGGGCTCGGGGGCGGGCCGCCCTGCATGGAAAAGGGAGGAAGGTGTCCCTCTTGATGGGGCATGGAACATGTATGAGGAGAGTCCGTGGCTCTCGGGTGGCGCGCGAGGCGCGACGCGGGCGCGTAGCGAGCGCTCATGGCTCGGCGAAGGAGACTTGCTTCCTGTCCGATGGGGAAGGAGTCGAGGATCAGCCTCTGGAGCTTCGGCCGGACATCAGCAATCGAGGAACGGATAGCAGCTAAGAGGGCAATGGAAGTACCGCCAGCACCCTGGATATCTTAGACGACCAGCGCCCGCTGCCAGCGCAGCTGGAGTGGTGTCATGATTTGGGCCGCGTGCGGCGGAGCGGCTCGCGCCGCCCGACAGAGCTAAACCTGCCTGCCACACCGGCCTCTCTCGCCTCTCCAAGGGCGGCACCGCGTAGCACTGACTCACACACGCCCCTCCTCCGCGCGCGGGCGCGCGGCGCAGCCGCAGGCCGCTGCGGCGGTTCTGCTCCGCCCTTGCGCCACGGCCTCGTCGCCGCTGCCGCCGCCGACTCGGACAGAGGCACCACCGGCCACAAATACGTGCCATCCAGGCCGTCGCGGCGGGTCCCCGAGTAGGTTCGGGTACGGGATGCTCACAACCCGCGCGAGGGCGCGCGGGTGGGCCTTCAAAGGCGTCCGTAGGTCAGCCTGCCAGCCACGTATGTGGAAGCACGGAGCACGAGGAGCTCATGCTCCTCTGCGACACGTGCGACCGCGGATACCACACCACGTGCCTCTCGCCGCCTGCGCACTGCGCGGGAGACCGCGCCGGCACGACGCGGCTCATCGACCTGAGGTCCCGGAGGGCCATGGAAGAGCTGAAGCCAGTTCTGCAGATGTGTGCTAACTACACGACGCGCTGCTCATTCTTGAGCTCCAGAAACCACAGCAAATTTCCAGCCGGGTTCACGCTGCTGAGTTTCTTGGACTGGTCGTCCCTCCGAGAGATGGAGAAGCGACTCAATAGGTCGCTGAGCATGGCTGAGTATTGGGAGTTTCGTTTCGGAGCTGTGAGAAGGGCCCGCTCGTCGGGCTCGACGATCCGGTCCTCTCGATTAACACTGCGCCTCAAGGCATCCTACTTGCGCAGTACTGCTGGAGTCTGGAGAGGAGGATTTGCCACGATGAATAAATAAATCAATAAAACGGTCAAATGGTTCTGCGGTGAGCTTCGCATGCATGAAAATGGAAATGCGCAGCATGTGTTCGCTCCACTGTCCACACACATGTTATTCCACGGTTTCCACGCTGCAAGGAGAAGGACCAAGGTGCAAATACATATTTGATGTTCCATGACTTCTTTTCCGTTCGATCTCGTTTGCGCGAATTTTTTGTTTTCATTTTTTCGAAGCACCAACCACCAATGTGGGGCACGGAGCCCTGGCGATTGGGGCGCCCGCAATAGGTAGGTAGGTAGGGCGTTTTGGTCGAGTCATGTGTTCAGACCCCCTATCTGGGTAGGAGCCGGAACCCTGTGGGGGCTCGGTTCGGGCTTCGTTTATATCTTAGCCGCCGTGAGATGCCACACCACCCTCGTACCTATACTCCACCAATGAGAAGGTGAAGAGATCTTATCGGCCAGGCGGGCAGGGCAGGCGGGCAGGCGGGCGGGGTCAGGGAAGACTATTCCTAGCGGGCGAGGGCCCTCGGGTTACGCCTCGTCCGGCCCCCTCCGAGGGGGGAAGGGGAAAGAGCGGGTCCTCGGGGTACGCCTCCTCCGGCCCCTCCGAGGGGGGAAGGGAATTGCAGTTTTCTGTCCATCTAGGGAGGGGTGGAAGAAATGTGAAAGGCTTCGGATTTGAAACGCCTCTCTCGACTTTTTTCGCGAGCCACAGGCGCTCGCCCTCGCCCTGTGAGCCACAGCGCCTCCGGACAGCGTGCCGAGCGCCTGCTACAGGCCTGCCTGCAGCCCAGCCGCAGTCGCTGCGGCGGCAGCTAGTCGGTTCGGCCTGGACTCGCGCGCGCCGAGATGGGAACCCAACACACGGCGCGTCGACCCGCCTACGCTTTTGCAACAAAGTCTGCTTGGCTTGTGCAGGTGATGCCCAGAGCAGCAGAGACGACGCCGGCAGCCTCGGCTCGACCTCGAAGGCGGATCTCGTGGCCAAAAACCTGTGCTCTATTCGTCGGTGGTTCACAGTAGACGTCTGTGTAGGGAAGCTCTCGCGTCGACTACGGCCGCCGAAGACTGTCTATGAGGGCACACCCGAGGAGGCGCCGATTTCAAGCACCGTGCGGCGGTGGCCAGGTCACAGGCATCGGCTGTGACACTGGAGAGTCGAGCAGCGGCACTGAACTTCCCTACAGGTCATTCCAGCGACCCACGGAGTACGGTCTCAGCGCGCAATCACTCTACTAGATCCCATCCTTGCCGGGCCTCTGCGAATGTAGGTACCGAGTTCATGCGTGCCCAGTTACAGGCTCATACTGCCTGGTCTCCAGCACCTATGATCACCGCGCCAGGCCGCAGTCGACGACGTTTGTGTGCGCTGGCCGCACTCAACCGTTGAGTCGCGGTGTATCAGTCTGACCACACTCGGGACCGCGTAGGCGATGTGGGCGACTCTGGCCGTCCTGCATATGACCGACCATGACCCAAGAGGAGTGTACACGAGACATATCGTACATGGCTGGCGTTCTCGCGGCAGCACTATCGCGTGCGGCCGAGTGCGAGCTTCCGTGCCCGGTGCCAGACGCACTCGGCACCAGACGTCCTCGGGAGCTCGCAGTTTTGCCATACCTGCCTGCCCTCCCACTGGCTCGGCGCTCCTGGTCCCTACCCTCGTAGGCAAGGCTGAGCGATCCCGAGCTCCAGGGCGCCATCGCCGTGCTCGGCGGCGCCGCCAAGGGCGCGAAAGACGCGCTCACAAAGGACTAGACGCGCTGCTGCTAAAGAAGCCGGGCACGCTCGTCGCGAGAAGTGGCTGCCGCCGCCGTCGGGAGGGCGGCAGCCACTTCTCGCGCTGACCAACGCGCCTTCGCCGACCGCCGCGCCATCGCCGATGCCGTTGCTCGCGCTACCGGCGCCACCGGCCGCGCGGGCCGCGCTGGCGGCGCCGCCGCCGGCCGCTGCGGCTCCGCAGAGAAGCGATCCCTCGCGCAGAATCGCCCTCGGTGCCGCGGCGGGCCGGGGGAGAGGGCGTGAGGGTGTCTGTGGTGGGTAAGGGCCCCTTGCCCATCGGGTCGCTGCGCGCTAGAGCAGCGGCGGCCCGCCTAGGGGGCTCAGGGCGGCCTGCCGGAGGGTGCCCCTAATGTGAAAAACACCTCCGGGGGAGGCCAACTTTGAGTGGTTGTGCCGAGTACTGTTTAAGGGTTGTGGGGCTGCTGTGGGCGGTTTTGGGCGTCCCTGGGGCACCCTCTGGAAGGGTCTGGCCCGTTGGTTCGGGGGGCGTCGCGTCTAGGGGGTGTATTCACACCTCAAAAATCGTTTCACGGAAGGTACACCCCTCCCTAGTGCGATTTTTGGCCCATTTTTTGCTTGGCATCGGTGAGAAATCGCACTATTTAAGGGCAAAAACCGATTTGCTGTGGGGGGCGTTAGCCGCATACCTGTGGCCTGTTGAGAAGGGTTCGTCGGGGTTAGCGCACCACTAGCCCGGGCTGGATGGCTGGATGGACAGAGCTCCATCCACCTACCTCCCGGGCTCTGGAGAGGGTGGCCACCACAACTGCGACTCGCCGCTTTCCTCCCATGAACTTGTTGTGAGCTCTGTGTCCTGATTGGTTGGCCAAGAGGAAGGACCGCTTCTAATTCAATTTTGACCGCGCAAGATATAAAGGGTGGCTAATAAGGGCTCTGTCTGCACGCAAGGCGCCCGCGTCGCAGACGCGGTACCATTGACAAATCTGGCAGAGAAGTTTCTCCGAGACCTCGGGAGCGGCAGGTTATTCACACCTCGGCAGTGTGGGCAGGGCAGGGCAGGGCAGTGTGGATTTCACACCCGGGGCAGGTAGAGGATTGGGCAGGGCAGGGCAGGGCAGTTGTGCGGCAGTACGCGGCAGGGCAGGACCACAAGGCGATCATAGCAGACCCGCGCGTGGCGCGCGAGTACAAGCGACTCGAGCGTCGCCTGCTTACGCAGGAGCATGTCGACGCCGCTCAATCGCGCGTATCAGCACCGCTTCCCCACCTGTCGCAGATCGAAGCACAGTACCCGACCACAATATGTAAAATCGTGCGGTGTATAAGAAAAGGTGCACAACACAACTCACATACCGAGCGTGCCGGTCGCCGGGAGATGAACAGACTGGTGACAGTGTGGCACGGGGTCAGGTCGGCGGCCCCTATTCGAGGGAAGGTGGGACGAGTATGCTCTAGCTGGGAAAATCTCATGTGCATGAGGCATCGGAGTGGCAGCTGAACGAACAGCGCGAGAGACGCTCACTCTCTGCTCCAAGCACATGCGAAAATCATACGTCGTCCCACGCTCACACACACACACACACACACACACACACACACACACACACACACACACACACACACACACACACACACACACACACACACACACACACACACACACACACACACACCACACAAACCACGCACGCACGCACGCACGCAAACGCACAAGCACGCGCACGGACACCCCTCCCCCCCTCCTCTCGGGTGATCGCCGTGAGAGAAGCGAAAAGGGTAAAACATTCTCGTTTCCGAAAAAGAAGTGCATCGACGACCCCAGAGGGGAGCAAGATGCTCACATCGATCAACAACAAGGCTCCGGCCAAGCCACAGCTGGCTCGCATCCGCTCTTACACGATCAGACGGCAGAGCTCACATCACTGGACGCCGCCAGAGCTGTACTACAGCGGGCCACACGATGCGGCGACGCGCAACGGCTTCTTGCGCAAGGTGTACGGTATAGTGTGCGCACAAGTGCTATTCACGACAGCGGTGATGCACGCTATGATGAGGGATGGTATGGCGCGCGTGGCGGCCACGGCAGTTTCCGGCGTATGGGAGGACCGATCCTGCAGCCCACACATCTTGTGGCCAGGACATCTTACCTGCACGAGTGTTGCCATCGAACCGTTCGTGCCGTTGTTGATGCCAGCTTTTGCCGTGTCGCTCTTGCTGACCTGCTGCCTGGACGGCTTCAAGAATACATACCCGTACAACTACCTTTTGCTGGCCGGCTTTACGCTCGTCGAGGGCTTCACCGTCAGTTTCGTCTGCGTTGCGCTCGGCATTGAGAGGCCCGAGGTGGTGCACCAGACCTTCATGCTGACCGCCGCCCTCTTCGTCGGCCTCACCGCCTTCACGATGCAGTCGCGCATAAGATTCAATTTTCTTGGCGGCTTCTTGCTCTCATCGCTCCTCCTCCTCTTCGCGTGGGCAACGATCAACGCCGCCCTCGGCCTCCCCTTTGCCTCCACCGCCTTCTCCCTGCTCGGTGCCCTCCTCTTCTCGCTCTACGTAGTCTACGACACCTCCATGATCTGCCACCGGCTTGGCTACGACGACTGTGTTGTCGCCGCCATCGAGCTCCACCTCGGCGTGGTCAACCTGTTTCTGTTCCATATGCGCCTGCTCTCCGACGATTCTCTCTCGAGTCTCTCTGTAGGTTGAAAGGTGAGGGAGAGGGCTGGGGTGGCGTGGTAGGGGACTGGACATGATGGTGTGCCGGTGTGTGTGCTAGTCTGCGCCAGTCCGCGCCCTTGGTGCTCTACGTCACTTTTTTTGAGTAGATAGTGCCGAGCTGGCCTTGACAGCATTTTTCGCGGTTTTTGGTGAGTTTTGCACCACAGACTTTTTGCAACAAGTCTCTTACGTACCGAAAGTTTGAGATATGAGATTACAGTATACAGATTGAGAGAGACGTACAGATTACAACAATCCCCTTAATAAGGCTAATACGCGCTGCACATTGCAGCTGCGCCCGACATGGGACATGCACGATCATGCACATGCGACATGGCTCGTGCTCCATCTAGGGACGCAAAACCGCGGGGCGTGGTCGACCATGCGGAAAGGGCCCAAAGGGGGCAGGGAACCTCTGGCTTCTCTTCGTTCGGCCTAAGTTGCTCGTGCACGAAGCCGCGTAAAGCGGGTCGTGGGGGTCGCGACGCGTGCGCGCGGAAGACGGCGCGCGCGCGTGGCGCCCCGTTCCCGATCGATTCCGCTACTTC